AAATAGTCAGTTTTAACTTCTAAATATTTACTTTATACTAATACTAGATTACATGTATATTTATGTAACTATATAATTCTGTAAAATATTCTATGTTTCGGTATATTATTCTAAATACCAAATACTGAAAACTAAAAATATTTAAAATGTATACTATATACCACAACCAAATACCATAATACCAAAATTACAATATTAAAGGCTTGTTTTCAGGTCAAAGAGACAGAAATCATATACTTTTAAGGTAAAATTACTATTTGTCTCTTATAAGTTTATAATTACAGAAATCTCTCAAATTGATACAATAATATAAGCGTTAATACATTAATCTGATGTGTGATATACATTAATCGTTAAGTATTATTATACATTATATTTTATACATAATACACTAATTTAATATACAGTTTATACATAATATACTAATCTAATGAGTGATATACATTAATCTAATACGCAAAATATATTAAATTTGATATGCTAATACATTAATTTAATACAAAAAATAAATAAACCAATAAAATATGGAGTACAATGGAGTAATTGAATACCACAAATTATTAGCCAACCTAGGAATATAATTGAGCTACTCTAATTAACTCCAATTGAATAATTGATGTCATGCCGTACGATAAGGATCATCAAGCATTCAATTCACTCAACAACCTTTTTTTCTCCGTGACGATTCATTTTATATGACGATATTTGATCAGATATAAAAAAATATTAAAAATATATTAAAATGTTAGAATACAATTTAAAGCAATTAAAGTTTATTATAAACATCTATATGACAATGTGCTCTACTTATACATATTGTGTTTGAGTCTTGTATTTTATTTCTATTTATAATACATTTTTTCGAATGAGATGTATAATATTTTAATCCATTTCAATAAAAAAAAACAACTTTTGAACTGATCGATAACCTTATCTTTTTTATCAACTCAATCTATTTTAATCCATTTAAATTCAGACCAACACACTTTATCTCTCGTTCTATTTATAACCAAATGATTATTTTAAAAAAATGAGTTTCTAATTAGTTCAAGGGTGCAATAATTGTTCAAATTAGGCGTGGGTAAACAACTATCTTAAATTAATGATGATGTAGAAAAAGGTAACCCTAAAACTTTTGTATAATGATGAATCTAAGTAGTGGTTTCCTTTCTATTTTTCTTTTTAGAACGGGGCGAGTCTACGATAAATAAATAGCGATGAAGTCAGAATTCAATTTATGAGTTTTAGATATTTGAATATGCTTATTCTTTTTATTGAAAGTTGTATTAAGTTCAATCGAACTAGTTGAGGGTTGTTACTTTTCTATGCAGATACTTCATCCGTTCATTTTTAATTATCATATTATGTTTTTCGAAATTCAATTTGATTAATTTTCAAATTCAAATTAGATTACATTAATTTAACATTTTAAATAAAAAATTTAGATATTAAGAAACCATATGAAAAGTGCTATAAATTATTGTTTTTTTGTATATCAATATGATTAAAAAAATACATCGTAAAATATTAGTGAATTTTTCTTACAATTTAACTTTTAAAAAAGGAAACCACGACAAATAAAAATAGACGGAAGGAACAATATAGAATGATTATATACAAATAATCCAAAGTTGTAATGTTACACCAAAAATAAAAAATATATCTCCAGGTTTTATATATGTTCCTGAAGTTTGACATGATTTCTATATACTAATATATATATAAATAATTAAATCACTTTATATAATATCATTAATCGAAATATTCATTATTACTATAGTGAAATATCTTTATATAAAGCACATTAAATATACTATTTTGACGAGTGATGTTACATGTAAAATATATTTTGATGATTACATGAGTGGGATCGTTTAATTATTAAATACATTTTTACTTAACGTAATTATCATATTTCAATGAGTGATATTATCGACTCTCCTTAAATATATGTGGCTCTGCAAGTATTTCTTCTTCCATTTTCATCTTATTAATATTGCTTCCTCCCTAATAACACTGATTTCAACCATCATGAACTTTAAAAGAAAAATAAAATTATCGTTGAAATTCACCATCGAAGAGTTTCAAAATTTAGATTCTAAATTTGATCTGTTATAAAAGTGAACTGTTATGAATAAATAATATATCAAAAGAATCAAAGAGAGGTTTATGTTTAATTTTGAGTTGGTGTCCATAAGAACCCGCCGGACTCGTACATGGGCCTTGTTAAGCAGCTTGTTCATAAAATTGCACGATTTATCCTTCAAATAATTGATTTTTAATTCCACCCCTCCCTCCGAACCGAGGTGGACCTTTCAATACACTCTACCCCCATCTCGACCCCTCACACATCCCTCCAACTTTTATAATGTATGTCTAAATTATACACAAATATTTTCGAGACAGTATTTCAAAAATATCTTTCGCTTAAAATAAAATTTCAAATGAACACAACAAAAATCAACCATATTACATTGGAGGTATATTTGTATTAAAATTTATCCCTAATCTCTTTCTCTATTTTTGAGGTTGAAATATTTAAATAGTTCTACTAAAGACACATGCAATCACAAACTTTATAATCACAAATATTTAATGAAACATTTTATTTGCTTGGAGTTTCTTTCTTTCAGAGAGCAATTTTGCAAACCTAAAAATAAAAATAAAAATAAACTTTTAATTCGCATTTAAAAATAGATTTATTGAGAAAGTAAAAAAACCCTAATGCGTAGCTTATACAAGCAAAAGTCTACGTCTACTCCTCTCTTCATTTCATTTTATGCGTTTTGATTTCACACATATTTTGACTATTTTTTAAAATAAAAATTATAATCTACTCTGAAGATTACACCGAGCATATATATATATATATATTACCTTTTTAGAGCTTCCTCATTAGTTTCAGGATCCTCTTTGGAATTTTGTTTCTTCAACAAAATTTCACCAACTTGTACCAATAATTTCATATTAGCCTGTGAAGCATTATCCATTGAAGTAGTTGAACCTATTAGGGCATTTCCTGGTATTTTATTATATACAAAGAAAAAAATTTATTATTTAAAACATATATGAAATATACTCAGTATGTATACCATATATATATATATATATATATATATATATATATTA